CCTTCCGAGTGTTCCCAAAGGCCGAGTGCGGTGGCTCATGCCTGTAATCCCAGCACTTTGGGAGGCCGAGGCAGGCGGATCACAAGGTCAGGAGTGTGAGACCAGCCTGGCCAATATGCGAAAATCCCGTCTCTACTGAAAATACAAAAAGTAGCCAGGTGTGGTGGTAGGCACCTGTACTCCCAGCTACTCGGGAAGCCAAGGCAGGACAATCGCTTGAGCCCGGGAGGCGGAGGTTTCAGGGAGCCGAGATCGCACCACTGCACTCCAGCCTGAGCAACAGAGCAAGACTCTCTCAAAAAACAGACAAACAACTTTAAAATTGGCTAGGTGTGGTGGTGCTCACCTGTAGTCTCAGCTACGTGGGAGGCTGTGGGAGGATCTCCTGAGCCCAGGAGGTGGAGGCTGCAGTGAGCTAAGATTGCACCACTGCACTCCAGCCTGGGCAACAGAGCAAGACCCTGTCTCAAAACAAAGTGTCCCCAGAGCCTGAAGGTGAAGTTCAAACTACTTCTGGCATTGACAGCTCCCTTCTGATCTTATCTGTGTCCCCATCATCCACTGCTCTGAGTGAAGCATCCCCAGGCAGCCACCCCATCACTCAGCATTCCTCTCCTCCACCTGTCCAAGACCCAGCCCTCCTTTCGCATCATGGCCACTGCTTTGAATTCACCGGACCCTCCTCTGCGCATTCCAAGGCAGCCCTTAGCGCTCACTGACACATTGTCTCATTCATTCTTACGCTGTATTCCCGCTGTGCCCAAAAGCCCAGTGTTTCCCGGTGAATGGGATCTTCTTTTTAAGGCCCCGTCATGGGCTGCACTGGACACTAGGTGGCGCCAAAGAGGCTACCCCATTTCTAACCTGCGCCAGGGGGCCCACACGTTCCTGAGCCCGACAGCCTTGATCTTTTCCATAAAAATAAAGACACGTCTCAGGCAGCTATCCAGGCAAAAGATTAGACAATAATATCAAGGTGTAAATTATATCAACAGGTGCCTGAAGAGGCAACACAAACGTCTGCGCCAAGATTCCTTCCATAAAGAGTCAGAGAGCACAAAGCTGCCAGCAGGCACCAGCCAGGCACCCTGGGAAGCCCAGCTTTGATCTTCTCTGAAAAGAGAGCTGGGGCTGCAGCCAGGCTGGGCTGACGGGGATGGGGATGGGTCCACAACATCCTCTGGGACTACCACTAGGGGTAGTGGGGGAATCAGGCCCAAATCCTAGGCTAGCCAGGGGACCCCACTGTCCCCTGCCTCAAGTGCACCCCCAGGCAGCTCACCTGGCACTGACCATATGCATTGGGTTGTTTTTGTTTTTTTAAGAGACATGTCTCTCTCCCTCCCAGGCTGGAATGCAGTGGCACAATCATACCTTAAGGCAGCCTCAGCCTCCTGAGCTCAAGTGCTCCTCAGGCCTCCTGAGTACCTTGGGCTACAGGCCTGAGCCACCCTGCCTAGCCTGCCTTCCCCCCCCCCCACCAGATCAGTCACCGATTAAGGCAGCAGAGTCTCCCAGGAAAGAAGTGGAAGGTTTCACCAGGCAATGTAGCTCACACCTGTAATCCCAGCACTTTGGGAGGCTGAGGCAGGTGGGTGGATCACAAGATCAGGAGTTCGAGACAAGCCTGGCCAACATAACGAAACCCTGTAATCCAAATACAAATTACAAAAATACAAAAATTAGCTGGCCATGGTGGCGTGCACCTGCAGTCCCAGCTACTCAGGAGGCTCAGGCAGGAGAATCACTTGAACTCAGGGAGGTGGAGATTGCAGTGAGCTGAGACTGCACCACTGCACTCCAGCCTGGGCAACAGAGAGAGACTCCCTCTTAAAAAAAAAAAGAAAAACTTGCAGAAGCAGAAGTTATCAGTAGATCAACCTGGCCCCAGAGGCCCAGCCCTTGGTGGGCCAGAGGTTGTCTCATCGGCTTGGCAGATCTCCTGGCCTTCCACCATCCCCTCCAAAGTTCCCAGTGACCACCTCATTCCCGCCATAGCACGAGGGTCCTCTGGTAAAACAGGCATCTTTACAAAAGGGTTAAGGAAAAACACAACTCCAACCCAAAAGAGGCAAGGCCCTTCCATGGGAAATGTCAGGTGCAGGCAACTGGCATCGGTGGGATTTGAAGGAGGGAAAATAGGAGGAAATGCATGTTTCCTAAGTAAAGACCCTCCACCTGGTGGTGGGAGCAGCTCATACCGAGGGCTGGTGATGGGAAAGAGAAGGAAGGGACGTCTACTTTGTTTTGTCCATGTTCATACATTTATAGAGCTCATATGGCAAAAACTTTACACAGTGACACCATCAGCCCCTGGCCCACCTCTCTCCTTCCCACTTCTGTGTTCCACTCTGCTTAGACCCTGGCATACAAAGGTTGATCAAAAGCAGCAGCCACCTCAGACTAGCACAGTGCCAGTCCTGCAGGGGAGAGGGTCCCAGCAGGGTGAGGGTGAGGCTCCCGCAGCCCAAGACAGGTCCCAGACCTTGGCCCACCCAGTGAAGACAAAGGGGCCTCAGGTCCCCAAACTTAGCTCACGTAAGAGCAGACGCCCACAATTGCCCCTGCCATGCCAACTTGTATGGGCACGACCCTGGCCCGGCAGTGCAGCAGGCTGAGGGCGTGGCGGGCTCAGGCCCGAGAGCTGAGGGGGGTGGGTGCGGAATAGCGCTGGCGGGCATGCTTCTCACAGTACAGCTCGTCGCCCACCCAGAAGTGCCCTCGCATCTTCAGGTTCAGCCCACAGTCAGCGCAGGTGTAGCAGCCGGGGTGGCGGTACCGGCCCTCCTGGATGCGTACGGCCTGGTTCCTGCAGGGGAGGGAGAGGCTTTAGCTCAGAGCTGCGGCCCTAGGCAGAAGGCCACCATTTCCCAGGGGGCCTGGTCCCCACCCTAGCATCACAACCTGGGAAGAACCCAAAGCCTTCTTAGAGACTTATTATTATTTTTTTTAACAGGGTTTCATCCTTGTTAAGGATGCACAATGGTGCGATCTCAGCTCACTGCAACCTCCGCCACCTGGGTTGAAGCGATTCTCCTGCCTCAGCCTTGCAGGTAGCTGGGATTACAGGGTTGTGCCACCATGCCTAGCTAATTTTTGTATTTTTAGTAAAGATGGGGTTTCACCATGTTAGCCAGGATGGTCTCTATCCCCTGACCTCAGGTGATCCACCTGCCTCAGCCTCCCAAAGTACTGAGATTACAGGCATGCACCACCACACCAGGCCCGAGACTTGACTCTTGAAACGGCACGCAGGAATCTCACTTTGACAAACCCCCTAACATACACACATCCCCACCACCACTGCCACCGCTGGGATCTCTAATTTAAAAAAAAAAAAAAGGGTGGCCAGACACAGTAGCTCATGCCTATAATCCCAGCACTTTGGGAGGCCAAGGTGGATAGATCGATAAGGCCAGGAGTTTGAAACCAGACTGGGCAACATAGCAAGATCCCATCTCTACAAAAAATTTAAAAATTAGCCAGCTGTCGTGGCACACGCTTGTAGTCCCAAATACTGATACTTAGGAGGCTGAGATGGGAGAATCAGTAGAGCCCAGGACTTCGGGACTGTAGTGAGCCATGACATCGCTACTGCACTCCAGCCTGAGCAACAGAGTAAAACCCTATTTAAAAAACTAAAAATTAAAAAAAAAAAGTCATTCCTCCCACACAAAGACTGTGGAGTGCACCCCACATTGCCTGGATTTTGAACAGAGCGGTGATTCTCAGTGTGGTCCGGGGTCCCATGGCCAGCAGCATCAGCCTCACTAAGGTACGTGAGAGAAATGCTCATTCTCAGGCTGCTGGCCCAGCCGTCAGTATTTAACAAATCCTCCAAGAGACCCAATGAAGGATGGAAAACACATGCTTTTTAAACATGAATTTCTTATCTCGACCCAGCAGGGCAAGTGGATATTCTCCCACTCTGCAGATGAAAACACTGAAGCCCAGAGAGGTTAAGGGATTTGCCTAAAGTCCATCACCTGCGCCTCCACGCTGCACACTTCAGAAATTTACCTGGGGGAGTGGTCAGCAACCTTCCAGAGAATGTGGTTGCATTATAAATGCCACCAGCTGAGAAAACTGAGCCCACCTCAGCTGGGCGTGGTGGCTCAAGCCTGTAATCCCAACACTTTGGAAGGTCAAAGCAGGCAGGTCATGTGAGGTCGGGAATTCGAGACCATCCTGGCCAACATGGTGAAACGCTGTCTCTACTAAAAATACAGAAAATTAACTGGGCGTGGTGGTGTGCACCTGTAGTCCCAGCTACTCGGGAGGCTGAGACACAAGAATCCCTTGAACCTCAGAGGCAAAGGTTGCAGTGAGCTGAGATTGCGCCACTGCACTTCAGCCTGGGTGACAGTGCGAGACTCCATCTCCAAAAAATAAAAAGGAAAAAAAAGAAAAAGAAAAATGAGCACGCCTCGGGAAAATCCAGCCTGCCCCAAAGTGGGAGGGAGGGAAAGAGGAGGAGTTTTCAGGAGGAGGTGCTGCACCTCGGGACAGATCTTTAGAGGCTTTGAAATTATTCATAGAGAAATTGAAAGGGAAGGGAAAGGAAGAGAGGGAGAGGGAGGAGATGCAGCCGGAAGCAGTTAGCACAGCCTCCTAAGAAACTAACGCCCCCAAAGCTGTGGGGCACTGCTTCCCCCAAGGTCCCTGACTGGGCGCCCAGTGCTAGCCCCAATGGGCCTGACCCTTCCTGAAAGCATCCAGTGCCCTGTGCCCCTCCCCACCTCCCTGCCGAGGCTTCCCCCACACCCACACTCACGCGATGCTGGTGCTGCACTTCTCACAGGTATGGAGCTTGGGCGGGGGGGCCAGGGCCCTGGAGGTGGGGAGGGAGGACTGTGGGCTCAGCGAGCTGGGCAGGAAGGCTGGCGTGCCACCTGGGGGCGGGGCAGACAGACACGTGGTGAGAACCCACCAACCACAGCACCGTCCCAAAGCCGCTTTGAGGAGGTGGTCTGGGAAAGCACGCTTAATCAGTGACCCAAAGTCACACTGAGGGTGGGACCGGGTAAGGAGGAAGATGATCTTGCCAGACCTGTGGCTGAGGCTGGACAGGGGCATAAAAGAGGCAAGTACAAGGCCTAGTGTGCCCATCCAAGGCCACCTGGGGCCATCTGTGCTGTGTGGCACAGCAGGTGAGGCAGGTGCTCCCTCTCTAGTGACCTGGTAATGACAGTGTGAATAGATAATAACCCAAGACGTAACAGGAGCGCAACGCCTTGGTACGTCTTTCAAAGGGCTTTTCCATTCGTATGGCATCTGAGCTCTTAAGCCACGCTAAGATGAAGCCTCAGGCTGTGGGGCAGCTGTCACCCCTGTCTGCAGCTAAGGACGCTGAGGCTTCCTTGCTGAAGTCACTGCCCTCTCCCTGTGCTGCCACCTGGGACCTTCTGAGGCCTCAGGGTCAAAACAGACAAGATGTGCTCCAAACCTTCTCACCCCACCCCCTATGCCTGTGCCAATGCCCCCTGGAGCTAAAAGTCAGGGTTAGAGCCAGCCACAGGGACCCTCTCTTGGTCGCTCTCCTGCCTGTCCTGTCATCTCCTCCCCTTCTCCCCGCTGTCCTAAAGGGCACTGGTGCCGAGCGCCTGCAAGAGCTCCCACAGCAGCGCACACTTCCATGGGAGCTGGCCAGGCCCATCTGCCCCAATGAACAGAGCTCAAGGGCAGGTGTGAGGCAGGACCACCTTCTATCCCCAAACTCTGCACACACCTGCCCCATAGGATAGGCACGGCGTCTGTCACATGAAGAACTGAACTCTTGCAAGCCTCCATACATCTTGCTCACCTGGCACTGTATTTAGTGCCTCTCCTGGGCAGGGCACTCCTCGCCTGGTTCCCGAGGGCCCTCACTACAAGGGCTTGGCCTCCACTGGCACCCTCTATGCTACCAGGCCCCCTTCTCTCGCTCTTGCACCCCAAAGCCCTCTGGCTCCCAGCATCCGCTTTCCACAGTGCTTCCTCCCACCGTCTTAATGCTATTTAAGTCTTGGTTTTTTTTTTTTTTTTTTTTTTTTTTTTTTTTTTTTTTTTTTTTTTTTTTTTTTTTTTTTTTTTTTTCTGAGGTTAAGTCAAATCCCTCTTCCACCAAGAAGCCCTCCCTGGAGGTCCAGCCCCAGGCCCCACCACAGCCTTTATCACTCAGGTGGCACTTGCCCATCCCAGCCAGCTAGGCTACTGCCCACAACAGTCTGGGAGCATGCTGGTGACCCCCAGACTGTCAGCTTCTTACAGGAAGGGTTGGGGCTTAGAGCCTAGTCCCGGGGTGAGCGCTTCGCAGGCGCTTAAGAACACTGGTTCATTAAGGGAGCCTCCTTTCTCTCCCCAGCGCCCCCATCCCAGGGCCTCACCTCTCTCCTCAGCCTCCAGGGCTTCCTGCAGGAGCCGAAAGGAGCTGGACTGTCGGGGGGCCACCCGTCCCTCACGATTTTCCTGCAGCATCTTGAAGACTTCCGAGTCCTCGTCCAGGAGAAGGCTGCCCCCTTCCGAGTTCACGCTGGAGCGGGAGGCAGCCAGGAATGAGGGTCCCTGGCTGGGGCTTAGGCAACCAGGGGGGTGGGGGGCAGGAGAAGAGCATGGGGGAGGGAGAGGAACCTGAGAGTTGGAGGAGGAATCTGGGAGGTGGAGAGCCATCTGGGCTTGGGGCCCCATCCCTCTCGGGGAAGCCAGTTCCCTCCTGCCCCTCCCAGCCTACCAAAACCCCACCCGACCCTCCGGGGCCTGCTGGTACCTTGGCCTGGACGAACGAGGGCCAGGGCCCGGGGAAGGCGGCAGCACCAGCACCGCTGAGTCGCCAGCTCGGCTGAGGCCAGCCTGTGGGGAGGAGGCAGCCGGGGAGGAGTCAGGGCCAGAGCCTTGGTCCAACACACCCAGGAGGGCCCAGCCCGACTGTTCCCCGGCCAGACACCAGGGGGCCCCCGGGCCCCGCCCTCGGAGCCAGGGCACAGGGACTGCGATGTCCAGAGGGGGAGGGAGGCATGCAGGTTCTGCTGGGGACCAGGCAGCAGGAAGACACCAGGCGACAGCTAAGCACGGATTCCTATGCCATGCATGCTATTATCTGTGTGCAGAGATGCTACACACTCGGCCTGGCGGAGATCCCACGGAACCAGCAGAGAAGAAGCATGCTGCCCTTTTGCACTAAGGAGATGGAAACAAAGGGATGAATCAAGAGGGTCGAGGCTCCCTCGACCAGGGCCGGCCGGGGCAGAGGCACTCTTCCCAAGGAGAGCTGGTTCCTCTCCCAAGAGGCAGGGATCTGGGCTGACCAGCCTGTCCCTGCTGCCTTGGGAGGTCTGGGCCTGCCCCACGGAGCTTTGGGGAGCCAAGGCCTCCCTGGGCCACGCTCTGGCACCAGTGCCTCTCCCCAGGCGTGCCCTGTCCATCAGGGGCTCTTACATTTGCTCCCTACATGGAAATCTCGCCTTCAACCTCACAGTAGTTCCTGGAGGGCAGTTTCCAGCCTGCATCTCAGTACTGCCTGCTCCCCTGCCCCCTTTCCATTGCCACCCCAATGGGACTCCACTGAGCTCCAGGAGCCCGCACCAGCCACTGGGAAGGAGAGCCTTGGAGACAACCAGGCAGGCCGGTGCCTAGGGCCAGGGGCACTGTTTCCTGGGAAGCCAGCTTCTCTCCATTTTAAAATTCAAAGTCATGGATGAATTGTGCAGCCAGACGAAAACTGCACTAATCCTTAAGCTAAAGTAAAAACTTCTGGGTCTTAAGAAAACAGCCCTTGGCCAGGCACAGTGGCTCACACCTGTAATCCCAGCACTTTGAGAGGCCAAGGCAGGTGGATCATGAGGTCAGGAGTTTGAGACCAGCCTGGCCAACATGTGAAACACCATCTCTACTAAAAATACAAAAATTAGCCAGACATGGTGGTGCGTGCCTGCAGTCCCAGTCCCAGCTGCTCGGGAGGCCAAGGCAGGAGAATCGCTTGAACCTGGGAAGTGGAGGTTGCAGTGAGCCGTGATCATGCCACTGCACTCCAGCTTGGGCAACAGAGTGAGACTTCATCTCAAAAAAGAAAACAGCCCTGGACCCTCGCCCCACCAAGCCTCTTCCAGCAGTTCGCCTTGTAGCCCTCTGCTCTCAGGGTTCTTCGGTAAAACGTTCTGTAGGTAAGGGCAAAGTGGCCGGTCCAACTGCCTGGAGCATCAGAGGCAGGGCCGGGACTCCACACCTGGACTGCAGGACAAACTGGCGGCTACGTGGTCACCTGGAGGACCCAGAGATCGTTTCCGCAGGTACTCAGCAGCCACATCACATCTACAGACAGGCCACCACAGGCCCTGCCTGGGGCGCCGGCCCAGGATCCCTTCATGAGCCAAGTCCTCATTCCCAGCCAGAAGGAAAGGGGCTTTTTTCACTTGGCCTCTGCTCACCAAGGCGTGTGCCTACCAGCAGGGGGAACTTGCCGTTTCCAGAGAGACCATGAGGGCGTCCTGTGCCTCCGGCTCTGCGGCCTTGGGCATGTCTGGAAGCCACAAGGACACAGCAGCCCTGACCCTCCAGCTCACAGCGTTCCTCCCAGGCACTCCCGCCAGACCACCAGGCCCAGAAAAGGAGCCCAGCTCCCCCGCTGGGAGAGGCAACGCCTTTCTCCTCCCTCCATCCCTCCCAGGCGATTAGGGGTTAGGGACCCTTGCCTTCACGGAAGAAACCTTTTATCTCCAAATCTAAAAAAGCCGCCTATCAACAGGCTGTCTGCAGGCAACACCTCTCCAGAACACAAGGATGTTCCTGGGGGTGGGGCAGGGGGCTCAGGGGGAGAAATCCAGGAGAAATTCTGCCATTCAACAAGTTTAGGATGCAAAGAAAAATTAAGGCCAGGTGCGGTGGCTCATGCCTGTAATCTCAGCACTTTGAGAGGCTGAGGGGGGAGGGTCACAAGGTCAGGAGCTCAAGACCAGCCTGGCCAATAGAGTGAAACCCTATCTCTACTTAAAAAAAAAAAAAAAGTACAAAACTTAGCTGGGCATGGTGGCACGTGCCTGTAATCTCAGCTACTCAGGAGGCTGAGGCAGGAGAATCGCTTGAACCCAGGAGTTGGAGGTTGCAGTGAGCTAAAATCACACCACTGCACTCCAGCCTGGGCGACAGAGTGAAACTCCATCTCAAAAAAAAGAAAAGAAAAATTAAGTGGATTTCTTTCTCGTGGGACTTCTTAGAGCCTTTAAGGCTCTCAAGTGTAAGTGACTTTTAAGAGATGGGGGTTTCACTATGTAGCCCAAACTGGTCTGGACTCCTGGGCTCAGGCAATCCTCTCGCCTCAGTCTCCAAAGTAGCCCAGACTCCAGGCACGTGCCACAGCACCGAGCTTCACAGTGATTCTCAGGAGGCAGCTGTGGGACCACAGCCTCATTTGTAGACTAGAACGTCAGCTCTGCAGGGTCAGAGATGTCACTCTGTTTTTCCACGAATGCCTCCCCAGAGCCCAGATGAGCGTCTGACATGAAGCAGCTGCAGAAAGAATGAGCAGAGTCATCAAGGTCAGAGAAGGGAGCTCAGAGCGTCTAGTCTAACCTGAGGCCCAGGGAGAGGCACAGGGATGGTTTAAGCCAACACAGCAGAAGTGGGACCGACCAGGTGGGTCTTCCCGCACCCAGCCCCGGGCTCGTGCCCCGCAAGCCCCGTGCCCAACTCTGTGGGTGTAGGCTGGGGCCTGGGAAGTTGCATTTCCAGCAAGTTCTCAGGTGTTGCCTCTGGTTTGGGAGCCGTGCCCCTGTGCCTCTCACAGCCTTCATTTTCCTGGACCAGGGACAACACGAGGGGGAAGCTCAGGAAGGCTGCCCTTGAGCACTTGGTCCTGCAAGACCACAGCCCACCAGAGGCTTCGAGGAAGGGAGCCAGGACTGACACTGACCAGCCCTCTGCAGACAGCTCATTCCTGGCTTATCTCAGAACAAAATGTCCCCCGAAAACATCCCCAGCCCCACACACCAGGCCCCCCAAAACACCCCCAGCCCCCACACACCAGGCCCCCTAAACACCCCCAGCCCCCACACACCAGGCCTTGCCTGCACCACCGCTTTCCCACCTCCCCGAGCGTCCGGCCTCCCTGATCCCTACCCGCCACCACCTCCAGTGTCCAGAAACACTCCTGACACAGCCTTCCTGCCCACCGCCCGCTCCTCCCTCCCCTCCCAGAACGCCTCTTGCCTTTGTAATTAATACCACACTGCTTAGTGTTTAATTGCTCCAAAATTGTTTTGCAAGTTTGCCTTATCTCTATAACTACATTTTCAATTCCTTAATGAAGGGGACCCATGGAATACATCTGTATGGCCACAGCACCAGGCTGGCCCCTGGGTGGGCATGAAGTGGGTCACCAGGGAGCCCCTCTTGGGAAGGCCCCCCGCCCAGAAAGATCCTGCTCCTTCCCCTCCTCCAGAGCCCCCGGGTTCTAGTACCCTCCCTGGCCACCCGCAAAGGCTCTGCTTTCTGGAATGCAGAATCAGCCCGAAGATAGGGCTCAGCAGCTGGGCCATGTCCCCATCACCCCAAAGGCTGGACTTGCCCCTCCGTGCCTTCCCCAGGGCTATTGGCTGCCTCAACTCCTTTACCATCCCCCACCCTTGAAGAGGAGAAATACCACCCAGGAAGGGAGTTAGGCTGTCACCAGTGGTCCTGGGACCTGGGTGGAGGAGAGTCTAGGGTAGCGGGGTTGGGGCTAGGGAGGAGGAGATGGAACGAGCCAAGAGCATCTCGAGGCGGAACTGTGGTCCCACCGGGGCATCTCTGGGCTGAGTCAGAGGAGGAAGAGGGGGTGGGGGTGGGAGTCGGGCAGGCCCGGGGCTTGGAATGGGGAGGAATGTGTTCAAGAGCTGCAGCCAGAGCCGAAAGGGAATCATCCCAACAACAGCAGTGAAACTATTTCAGCCGCAGCCCAAAAGAAACACACTGGGCAGGGAGGAAGTCAGCAGGATGAGAGGGGAGGGGACCGGGCGAGGGGTGAGGGGGGGCCAGAAGGAGTACAGGAGATGGACGGGCCACTGGGCACTGCCGGGCAGGGCTTGGGCACAGCACAGGTGGCCCACAACCAGAAGCGTGGCCTCTCTGGCTCAGGAGCACGCCTGTCACCAGGAGAAGGAGGCCCTGGCTGCCCAAGTGGGCCTGGCCACCTGCAGCCCCCAGGGCACGGGCAACCCGCAGGGACTGGGGGTGCTTCTGTTCCTCCAGCCTGTCTACCCCCAGGGACCCTCACCTGTTGGCTTCCGGGGCGGTTCGAGTAGGACAGGCGGTCAGCAGTGGGGAGGCCTGGGGAACACACCAGACTCTGGAAACTAAAAGCAGGAAAAATGTGTGTGGGGCCACCCCCAGCCTGCCCAGGGAGGATAGTGCCCCAGGCTCCCCTCAGCAGAGCTCCGGAGACTCCGAGGAGACAGCCTGGAGTTGGCAGCCCAGGCGACCAGGGTGCCCACCCATGGGCGCACTTACCTGTGGCTGATGGCTGCCTCTCCAGTGAGGGGGCTGCTGGGGGGTGGCGGGGAGAAGGGGCTGCTGGCCCTCGGGCTGAGGGAGGTTGGGCTGGAGTAGGAGGACCTTAGGGAGGACTGACTCTCAGTGTGTGTCCTCACGGAGCCCTGTGGAGAGTAGCGGTGTCAGGAAGAGCAGCCTGGGCCTCACTGTCATGCACCGGTGATCCGGGTGCCCAGGCTCCCAGGGTAATGCGCCAGCTTACCTGGAAGCGAGTCGCCAACACTTCCAAGGAGCTGTCCCCATTGGTCTGCCCTGGAGATGCAGCCTGAGACCTGAGGAGGCAACAGAGGGAGGAGAGTGTCACAGGGGCCCTGCACCCCACAACCCCCAAAAGGGTCAAGACTGTTCTCAGATCTAGTTCTCAGCACCAGTAAAAGCTACAGAAAATTTGGACCTCAGGTTGTCAACTTTTCACGTTGCCAAACTCAAGACAAACAATTATCATCAACAATCACCATGGTTCCTTAAAAGAAAGGACAGTTGGCCAGGCACAGTGGCCCATGCCTGTCATCTCAGCGCTTTGGGAAGGCAAGGCAGAAAGATGACTTGATCCCAGGAGTTCAAGACCAGCCTGGGCAACATAGCAAGACCTCTTCACTACTAAAATTTTTTTTTTTTT